TATATATACATACAATAAAAGCTTTAATTGAATGTGATATGTTAAGATTCAGATATTTTTTTCCCATCAGATATTTTTCCACCTCTGTAATCTGGTAAATATTGAAAGAACAAGAACAACTAAACCTCAGCACCCCCATCATTGCACTCGTAGAGCCCCGAGGCCAGTTGTTTGTTCTTCTGTCGGGTCAAGGATTGTTTACCACTTCCAGCTACCTTTCTCACCTCTATCTGAAAGCAGTCATTGTTTTACTTGAACTCCAGTTTTCTCTGCATCAGACAGGCTAGAAAACGTTGCAAACAAATAAATAGCTCTACATGAACGCTCCCACATAATGTGGCAACATTGTGTTTGAAGTAGAACTTCAGCCGGACCCCCTGTGAGGAACAGTGAGGAACTCAGTTTCCCACACAGCACATCTCAGCTCCCTCAGATCAGCATTCAACCCTTTTTCCCATGTGACCTTAGCTTAGAAGCAGAACACTGATACATTTATGCAAAGACAGGCAAGGCTAAATAAGTGGTTGTTGCAACTGGAAGATTTCAGAAACACAGCTGGTCATACATTTCAATTCTCTGAACATAGCAAATTAGATTTTTTTTACTTTCAATAATTGTACAGATCACGAGAAATAACTGACAATAAGTTCATGCTGTTGATGTGTTCTGTAGCAAAATAGTTATATTAATGCCACTTTAAATTTACATGTTCAAACTGTTAATCCAAAGCCTGCAGTGAGAGACTGTGTGTAAAAACCACTTCAGTGATTTAAAAATTATTTTGTTTTGTGTGTAGAAATGGTTAATTTGTGTAATAATAGTTTGAATTTGAGGTCAAACTAAATTATAAACAGCGATGTACTTTTTTTCTGGAACAGATAACCTTCTGACAGACAGTGTTCATGTCAAATATCTCCTAGAACACTTTTATTTAGGAAATACTGTATGTTATAAAGTAGTTGATGTGACCTAAAATTGCTGACTCATGCTCACATAAACCTTCAGACAACTCTTTTTTGAGCGCTAATGCATCTGCTACAAAATTCCCCCAAAAAAGAAATATTTGACATGAAAAAAAACAAAAACCAATAGGAAATTATTTTTAATAAAAAATATTCTAGAGTCAATAATTTATTCAGGTGTCCCAAACTGAAAGATCGAATGTCTTCAAATCTTTGTGTTGTTTGCTGAAGATCATGTGGACAGGTCAGAATATTACTGTTGGTAGAAGAGGCAATGTTTTATTTGTTAAAAAATGCTTTGTTTGAGTAAAAAAATAAGAAAAATAAAAAAAGATTCCATTTCAGAATCTGGTTACTTTTCTTTCATATGAGGGTTTTTTCAAATTGATTTAGGTCTAGTTTGCTGTATCTGAGCCATGTAAACAATAATGGAAATAAAATTTCAGAAATGCTTTAAGACAATAGCTTTGAGACTGTTCTAGTATGTATCGACACATAACAAACAATTTAGCAAACAAACAGGTTGACAGTTTAAAATGCCTAAAATATTATTACTGCACCAACAAGAACAATTTGAATGAGGTTTTCCACGAGAAGGCACAAATAACACGAAGATGAAGAAAAACAACAAAATGAAGAGTGTCTCAAGATATTTTAGAGTGAACTGCGTGTAATTTGATAATTAGACATTTCTCACAGCAAATATAGCTCACAATTTACTATCCTGTGAAACTGCCTGCATGGTCCATGATTACATTTGTACAAGTGTGAATGTGTGCCTGTGTGTGGGCTGTGAGTGTGAATATATTTACATGTGTGAGATGCACGGAATGATACAGAAGATTGAAACATAGACACAAATCCAAGCAGATGCTGCAGAAATCAATCCCAGAGTAACAGATGGAGAGATCACTAGAAGCATGATTCTTTCACCTCTTGGTGCTCTGGGTTCCCAGGAGACACTGACGGTGTCTGTCTTCTTTAATGGATGGAGCCTTCGGTACACCAACCCACGGGTTTTTTGAAACAAACTAATTTGTTTAGAGGAAATGCTTTAGCATTCAGTTTGAATTTTGGCTTTACCATCTGAAGAAAATAAAGTATAAAATCAAACCATATTGCATGTGTTTTTTTTTCTTCTTAAAATTAAATAAATATTTAGCTTTGAAAAAGATGTGACTTTATCACGAAGGGATTTATTTGTGTTAATTTTCATTTCAGTCACCTGGACTCCACTTCCTGTTTAGAATTAAAATGGTGTAAATTTGCATCTCTAGTGGTGAAAAGTAGGCATTCTATAATTTGTAGGAAAGTCCTGATGCATCTCAGTAATCCAGGTAAAAAATCAAAAAGAAAAAAAATTGTGTAGGTCTTCTGGACGGGTTCTTCT